TCCTTTGTTTTTGTTTTTTTATCGAAAAAAGTTTATAGATGGATAGATAGATTGATTGATTGATTTAATTCCTTGGTCTTCTACTTGTTTTGATTTTCATTTTTGTGTTTTGGGAGGTCTTGTTGGTATTGTTGTTTGATACAGGGTTTTTCTGTGTAGCCCTGGCTCTCCTGGAACTCACTCTATAGACTAGGTTGGTCTTGAACTCACAGAGATCCACCTGCCTCTGCCTCCCAAGTACAGGGATTAAAGGCGTGTACCACCACTGCCCAGCTTGTGCTTGGGAATTTTGTGTACCTTTCTGCTCTTCAACAAATCAGGCTAAATGCCATGGCATTTCATGGATTATTTCTAGTTCTATTTCAGATTTTGATATTTGAGTTCATTATGGAAAACGGATCATTCTTTTCTTGTACCTCGGATTGAGCTCTTCTGTGTAAATTGTTCCCTTTTTTCTTTTTCTTTTCTTAATTGGTTTTGGTTAAGATTTTATTAGCTTTTGCTTTTTTATTTTTTTAAAAAAAAGATTTATTTATTGTATATACCATATTTTGCCTACATTCAGGCCTGCAGGTCAGAAGAGGGCACCGGACCCCATTACAGAAGGTTGTGAGCCACCATGTGGTTGCTGGAAATTGAACTCAGGACCTTTGGAAGAGCAGCCAGTACTCTTAACCACTGAGCCATCTCTCCAGCCCCCCTTTTTTCTTTGATTTTTTTTTGAGACAGGGTTTATTTGTGTAGCTCTGGCTGTCCTGGAACTTACTTTGTAGATGGGGTTGGCCTCGACCATATGGCAGAAGGTTGAGACCAAAGGTCCGCATGGCGTGTCTACCTGTGTGGCTCTCCATCTTTATTTCAGCGTGTGTTCGTGCAGATGTTCGTGGATTCTGGAAGAGGGTGTCAGATCTCCGTGAAGCTATAATCAGAGGCTGTTATGAGTCATCTGACGTGGATGTTATGAGCCAAAATGAAACAGAACTTAGCATTGGACTGTCTCTCCAACACCTCTGCCTTAATTTTTAAGATGGTGTCTCTCACTGAGCCTAGAGCTCACTGGACTGGCTAGCCAGTGAGTCCCCAGGATTTGCCGTCTCCACATCCAAATGCTGGGTGACACATGAACAACCATCACTTTACCCATGAGCCAGCTAGTCCTTGGGGCATCTTCACCAGCATCTCGTGTTCTTTGACAGAGGGAGGTCCAGAAGTAAAACTCAGATTTTTAAATAGGAAGATAGTGTATACTTGGATTGAACACTTTAGAAAGCACATTGCTTTATGCCACCTGTAATCTTCATTAAAAGCAGCTCAGAAAGAGAGCACGTTTAACTTTGTCCTAATACTGTAAGCCTTGTATATTTCTAGATCTATAAAATAGGGAATATGACTGTGTATGGTGGTGCACACCCTTAAATCCCAGCGCTCAAGGGACAGAGGGAGATGGATCTCTGTGAGTTCAAGGCCAGCCTGGTCTACAGACTGAGTTCAGGACAGCCAGGTATGTTACACAGAGAAACCCTGTCTCAAAAAACAAAATGGGGGGGAGGGTATGAAATAAATATCCAGAGTGAGAAGAAATATATTTCATCTTGAAGTGCAAATGCTGAAGTTTGTTCTGTTGAAATGCAGTTTGTCTCTGGTGATATTAGAACTATATTCTACAATTAAAAATCTCAGAAATACAAATTACACCAACCTGATTTTATGACCTGGCATTTGTGCATCTTCTGAGAAGGCAAACGTGGCTCCACTGGGGCTTTTCTAACTTCCAATGACGTCTTATCGGCAATAAAATAAGGTGGAATATGGGCATTTCCTCCATTCGATAAAAGATACCCATTTTGACAAAGATGTTCCCAGGTTTCCTTTGGTCAGGATAATTTGTGCCATCCCTGGCAGCTGCCTTCCCTTTTTTTTTTTTAACTTCCTTTTTATGTATAAGTGCTTTGTCTGCATGTATACCTGCAGGCCAGAAGAAGAAATTAAATCCCATTATAGATGATGGTTGTGAGCCACCTTGTGTTTGCTGGAAACTGAACCTGGGTCCTCTGGAAGAGCATCCAGCTCTTAACCACTGAGCCATCTCTCCAGCCCTTCTTTTCTTACCATGTTGGTTCAATACAGCAAAATGTCTTTTTCTTTTTTAATAATTTATTTTTATCTCATGTGCATTGGTGCTTTGCCATGGGTGTCCAGTCCCCTGGACCTGGAGTTACAGACAGTTGTGAGCTGGTTGCTGGGAATTGAACTCAGGTCCTCTGGAAGAGCAGCCAGTGCTCTTAACTGCTAACCCATCTCTCCAGCCCTGCAAAAATGTCTTTTTCAACCACAAGATTGTTAATGATTGAGCCTCAGATTACTTAATCATGAGAAAATAGAATATCTTTCATGATTAGAATAACTATCAAATGGAATTGTTTGAGCTGAAGTTATAACACAACTTGGTAAGTTATTTCAAAGTTATGTATTGTGGGTCTGGAGAGATGGCTCGGAGGTTAAGAGCACTGGCTGCACTTCCAAAGGTCCTGAGTTCAATTCCCATCAACCACATGGTGGCTTACAACCATCTGTAATGAAATATGCTGCCCTCTTCTGGCCTGCAGGGACATATGCAGGCAGACCACTGTATACTTAATAAATAAATCTTAAAAAAAGTTATGTATTGTGCTATTTCCCGATTAAGCAGGAAATAAGCCATACACTGTACTAAAGGGTGACCTAAAAGTGAGTAGTGATAATTGTATGTGTATTGATTTATGGTGACTTTGATCTGGGAAAATGGAAGGTATTGGCCCTTTGATAGTTGAGGGTCCAGGTTTTGCGTGGAGAGGGCATCGATCTTCTACTCACTGAGTTTGATTTTATGCCTGATCACAGGCTGCTTCAGATGCCTGTGAGGAAAATAGATACTGTGAAGTAACTCATTGGGAAGAATACCTTTGCAAAGAAAAATAGCACAGACCCAAGATGTAGGTTTTTGTCCCTTGAGGTTGAGGGAGAACTACCTTCACATTAAAGGGTGAGCAGGAAAGGACAGGGAGCATGAGCTGCTACGCTTTCACCAGCTTGCCCAGCTGCCACCGATAGCTTCTGCTTAGTGATCAGATGCCACCTCAGGAGGCAGAACACAGGCCACTCCTCACTCTGTGGATGTTTCCATGTCTGTCAGAAAGTCCTCTGGATTAAACCATGTGGAAAAATGAGATGATACAAATATATATCAAGATAAGGTGTTTGGAACTGTCCCTCCTGTTCACGTGGAAGTTCCTGGAGGTTTCGGGAAGACTGTGTTACTTCACACCACTGCCGCAGTCTGTGGGTCTGTCTTTGCTCCATTTCTATAGAAGATAAAGTTTCCATCCTGCTATGTAATGACGGAACGAGGTGTCTCCATGATTGTGTGTGAGCGAAACGTAACATTGCATTTAGCTTCCAAATACAGAAAAGCAAGTACAAGTTTCTATAATTTCAGTAAAGCGGAGTGAATTCTCTTGTTCTATGTTGTAATCAGGGAAAAAGCTTTCTATTCTATTGCTATTCCCCCAAACAGAAAACACCTCCAGTATCAAAAAACTAACTCCAGACTGTAACATGAAAAGGCCGGGCCTGTTTGGGTTTTCTGTCTCGCCCAGTACCCCACAGCCGGCAAACCCAAAGAAAACCATACAAAGATCTCTATTAGTTATAATGCTGATTGGCCCACTAGGTCAGGCTTCTTACTGGCTAACTCTCACATCTTGATTAACCCATTTTTTTTGATCTATTTTAGCCATGTGACTCAGTACCTTTTTCAGAGGGGCAGCTCACATCCTGCTGCTTCGGTGATCTGGGCAGGAGAGGGAAGAATCAACTTCCTCCTCCCCAGAATTCTCCTGCTCTCGCACCATTTCCACTTCCTGTCTAGTTTTCCCGCCTACACCTCCTGCCTGGCCAATCAGCATTTATTTAAAACATGATTGACAGAATACAGACAATTCTCCCGCACCATTTCCCCCTCTTTTTTTAAGAAGTAAAGGAAAATATCCATAGTCCATTTTTTGGGAATGTGGGCATAGTATTCCAGGCTACTTCCTGCTGGTTGGGGGCACTGATAATCTTATGGGGACCTAAAAAAAATTTAGAGTTATGATCAAGTCTTGACTGAAGTATCCTGTGAGTCTTGATCATCTCAGGCAGCGGTCTTGAACCTGTTTTGGATGAAGAACTCAGACATCTGGGCCATCTGTTTTTACCAGAGATTTTTTAGGTGGCCTTCCTTGGTCAAAGATGATTTTTATTAACTCTGAATAAATCCACAGCCTCTCATTTTCTGTGGAAACAAAAGTAAAATCTCTTCTCCAAAGTAATATACCTTTTGACTTAAATTTTGAAGCCAAGGTATTTTTAAAATACCTATCTTTAGAATTTATAAGCAAATATCTTTTAGCAGCTGTTGCTCCTTCCTCAGCATTTAAACAATTTAAAGAGAGCATAATAGCATACAGTATCAAGATTTTTTGTATATCTTTTATTTTTATGTGGCTTTATTTTAACCTCTATTTTTTTATTTTTAACTTTTGGCTTTTTGAGACAGGTTTTTTTGTATGTACGTTGGGCACCAAATAACAGCGAATCAATCCCACACCAGTTATGTTTTAAGGGGTTATTTATTTTGGGGGGTAAAACTTACATACACCATAAACCGTCAGGAAGGGATCCTAGTCGCTGGAGCAGGAGCCGGGAGCAGGAGCCGGAACCAAGAGGGCCGAGCCGAGATCTGTGGCTCTTTTTAAAAGAGAAATATACCACGCCCCAGTGGGCTGGTATTTCAGCGGCTATTGGCTGACAGCGGAAGGTGCTCCCACAGCACCGTGGGCTCGTGCTTCAGTGACTATTGGCTGAAGCAGCGGAAGATACTCCCGCAGCAACAGACGCTTTGTATCCTATTCTTAACCCACTCACAGCAAATTGACTTGAATGTAAAACACTTCCCAAAGAAATACGCCATGCTCCTGAGATTCAGACATAAGTTTGGTTTCTCAGTATTGCAAACTCGGGAGTTTCTAAAAATTTCCACATACGGTCAACAGCTTTCACGTCCAGCATAATAAATACACAGGCTTCTCAGACACCAGACCCTCTGGCGGGGCTGGCAGGCAGATGTCCTGTCCTGAACATATGCGTCTGAGTGTGGTGACAGTGGGACTCCTCTCTACAAAGGCAAAGGCCGCACAGTTGCTGCCTCGAGGCCCCTGAACCTGGGGCCCCAGTCAGGCGTTGAGAAGTTCATCATCTGAATGTCCGATGGCGTCTGGGTTGGAGAGCGGATCCAAGTCCGCAAATAGATTGAACCAGGCTGACATGTCTTGATTACCATTGTTGGGGGCTAGTGAAAAAGAAAGACATTAAAGAGATTCAGCTTTTGGAAATAATATTTTTGTACTATTTTTGTGATTTTTTTGAAGCAGATGCTCCTTAATAAAAATAAAGTTGGCTGACATTGATTCACTGTATTCCCTTAAAGACAAATTGAAAATGCAAACACAGGAAACGTGTGCCTTGCTGAGCCTGAGTTCAGTGTCTCAGGGATGGTGACGAGGATCATGTGAGAAGCAATCTCAGATGATTTATAGAAGGCTCTCAGATAAGGTTTAAAGTTACAGTAACTTCCTTCCTCCCGAGAAAACTTGAACTCTGCTAAAAACCTTTTTATTGGGGCTGGAGAGATAGCTCAGTGGTTAAAAGCACTGGATGCCCTTCCAGAGGAACCAAGTTCAATTCCAAGGACCCACATGGCAGCTCACAGCTGTCTAACTCCAGTTCCAGGTAATCTGACGTCCTCACACAGACATACATGCAAGCAAAACACCAATGCACATAAAATATACAGCCTTGCGGTGATGGCGCAGGTCTTTAATCCTGGGAGGCAGAGGCAGGTAGATCTGAGTTCAAGGCCAGCTTGATCTACACAGCCAGTTCCAGGACAGCCAGGGCTATACAGATAAACCTTGTCTCAAAAAAACATGAATAAATAAATAATAAATGTCATACTTGAAAAATGAAAAATGTTAGACATAAAAGGAAAAAATTCTCTGATTTTTATTTCTCTTTTGAGGCAGGCTCTTGCTGTGTAGCTCAGGCTGGCTGCAGATCTGTGATCCTCTAGATTACAGGAATGCTCCATCATGCCCAATGCTTGTCAAAATATTTGCTAGCAAGGGCTGGGGAGATGGCTCAGCAGCTACATGCCAAATTTGATCCCCAGGGTGCACATAGTAGTAGGAGAGAAACACATGTTTTTCCCTCTCTAAAGGTAACTTTAAAAAAAATTAAAACAGCTGGGTGGTGGTCGCACACACCTTTAATCCTAGCACTCAGGAGGCAGAAGCAGGTAGATCTCTGAGTTTGAGGACAACCTGGTCTACATAGTGAGTTCCAGGACAGGCTCCAAACCACAGAGAAAATCTGTCTTAACCCCCACCTCCCCAAAAGTTAACATATTTTGATAAGAACATTGTGTCTCAGATCCAAGTGTTTTTCTTGTATGTTTTTGCTTGTGGTAGTTTAAATGTAATTGGCCCCCATAATCTCATAGGAAGTAGCACTATTAGGAGGTATGGCTTGGTTGAAGTACGCATGACCTTAGTATGACCTTGGAGGAAGTGTGTCACTATGAGGCTGAGCTTTGAGGTTTCTTATGCTCAAGATACCACCTAGTGTCTCAGCTGATTCCAAGATGTAGAACTCTCCGCTACTCCTCCAGCACCACATCAGCCTGTGTGCGCCACACTCCCTGCCATGATGGTGATGGCTGAACTCTGAAACTCATTTTTTTAAATGAGTTGTCATGGTGTCTCTTCACAGCAATAGAAACCCTAACTAAGGCAGTTTGGTTTTGGTTTTTTGAGACAGGGTTTGTCTGTGTAGACTTGGATGTCCTGGAACTAGCTCTGTAGATCCGGCTGGCCTTGAACTCACAAAGATCCATCTGCCTCTGTAGGCAGTAGGCCATTTCAAAAGACTACCAGTCCTTTGTCTATGTGCTACTGTTGCTGTAATGAAACACCATAACCAAAAGCAACTTGGGGAGGAAAGGGTGTATTGATTTCCATGCCTGTCTGTCACTGAAAGAAGTTAGGACAGAGGCTCAAACGGCAGGAACCTGGGTGCAGAGGGGATGCAGAGTCTGCTTACTGGCTTGTTTCCATGGCTTTCTCCATCTGCTTTCTTATAGAACCTAGGACCATCAGTGCAGAGATGAACTACCCACAATGGGCTGCCCCCCCCCATCAATTACTGTTTAAGAAAATGCCCTATAGGCTTGCCTACTGCCTGGTCTTAGGGAGGAAGTTTCCCAATTGAGTCTCCCTTCTCTCTTTCATTCTGGCCCATCCTTTGAATATGGGGATTTTCTTCTCATGGTAGCCACAGTATTGCATTCTTATTTTTTAATGTGTTTGTTGGGGCTGTCAAAATGTGTTTGTTGGGGCTTTCTTGTTGCTATTTTTGTTTCAGTAACACAGTCTTGCTACGCAGCCCAGGCTGGCCTGGCTCATCCTGTTCCAATCTTTGAGGCCTGGCGTCTGGAGATTAGAAGTGTGTGTCATGGCTGGTTTCCCTGTCAGTTTTACATTGTTTCAATTACGTGTTAGACTGAATCCACTCCTGCACGTGATGGATGAACACTCTACTTTTCAGCTGTCTCTGGGTCCTGGATTTCAGTTTCAGTTTGCATTTAATGATTAATGAAGTGACACACTTAATGAGTTAATTTTTTTTCCTGTTTCTTTGTTTGAGACAGGGTTTCTCTGGCGGTCCTGAAACTTGCTCTGTTGATCAGGCTGGCCTTGAACTCCATCCGCCTACCTTTGCCTCCCAAGTGCTGGGATTAAAGGTGTGTGCCATTATTGCTCAGCATGAGTTAATTTCTAAGTTACAAATTTTCCAGTATTACTTTTTACCCAGAGCTGACACCACCTCCCCCCCCCTCTTCCTTCCCCAACAAAGCAAAGCAGCCTCAGACATACAGGTAAACAGTGTCTTTCTCACAACCTCTACTTGTTTTTGTTTGTTTGTTTGTTGTTTTGTTTGAGACTGAGACTCACTATATGGCCTAGGCTGGTCTTGAAAGCATAAAGATCCACGGGCCTTCACATCCCGAGGGCTGGATTAAAGCCTGTGCCACCATGCCCGGCAGTGTCTTCACTTTGTGTCTGGTGAGCCATGACTACCTGCCGCACGTCCACATGTAATGTTTGTCCTCAGCCATCCCGCACTGGGAGGTGGGAGACCCTTGAGGAGCAGGCTGAGGAGCAGGTACAGCTCATTAACAGGGCATTCTCCTAGCATGTCAGGCCAGTACCACACATTACCTATAGCTACATAACTGCGGGTCACTGGGACTGCAATCTTTGCTCCCTTTTTGGTTCTTGGCTTCTGTGAGGTAAACAGGCCTCCTTCACCAAGTCCCAGCCATGGTATACTATATATATCATGAAGAAGCAGTGACCGACTGACCACAGACTAAAGCTCTTAAACCATGAGCCACAATACAGTAGAATGCTCGTGGACAGAGAGAGGAAAAAGATCACGGTCCAGGCTGAGGATGCAGTGAGCAGGTTGTCTAGCATATAAGGCCCCAGGTTCTACACCTAGCACCACAGAGAAGGAGGGAGGACAGGGAAGAAGGAAGTGGGGAGAAAAAAAATGATTCAAAAACAACTATAATAATAAACATGTAAAATTACTAATGATTGAGATGTGGTGGCCTTCACCTATAATCCTAGTTCTCAGAGGTTGAGGCTGGAAAGTCAAGAGTTCAAGGCCAGCCTGGCTACACAGTGAAATCCCTGTCTACCATTTAAATTATTTTAGCTCAGAGCTGGGCAGTGGTGATGCATGCCTTTAATCCCAGAACTTGGGAGGCAGAGGCAGGTGGATCTCTGTGAGTTCAATGCCAGCCTGGTCTACAGAGCGAGTTCCAGGACAGGCTCTAAAGCTACAGAGAAACCCTGTTTTGAAAAACCAAAAAAACAAAACAAAAAACAAAAATTCAATTCAGAACACACAAAATACAGAGCAAGGTATGGTTTGCGGGAATTATGGTTGCCAAGTGTGGCAACATTCTGAAAAATCTACTCAAACATTCTGAAAAACCTACTCAAAGAATACATAGGGATACTTTATTTTTTAGTTTTTCTATAGTGCTAAATTTGTTGGAAAATTTTAAAGTATTGCTATCATAAGAATTGGGAAGTCTGCCCAAAAGACCTTCCATAGGCAAACACTTGAGCAATTTGAACACAAAATAATTATAAACTACAAAAAATAAGTTAGATGGATAATAGATGATGCATGGGAAGAGACAAGTCAGTTTAGAGCTGCGTGGAGCAGTCGTGTGGTCAGGAGGGCACCGCCTAGCCTTACGCAGCAAACGCCGGGGTACTTGCTGCAGGATGAATGACCTCTGAGGTCACCAAAGCCCAAAGCCTAAAGCCTGTCCTTCCAGTGACTAGGAGTGTCTGAAGTGATGAGTGATGGATGGCAGCCCATGTCCGGACACACCCATAATCCCACAGATTTGAGGTTGTATCCTAGGTGCCTGGATCATTCCCATCAGTGATGGAGCACAGGCCTGCCGTGGATGATGCCTGGTTTCTTTCTTCTCACGATGAGGCAAAGTGGTCCTTTTCTAAATTCTCCTGAATTTTACTAACTATTAATGCAATGGAAGGAAATGACTTACATTTTAATTTCTCTGGATGCTGTGAAGGCACTGGCAGGATATCTGGGTGTTCTGATCCCTCTTGGGAGCCCCAGCCTTTGCGGGGAGGACAGACAGGCAAGAGTCAACAGCAAGATCCTCCTGTCTGTGCCGGAGACACTCCTGATTGCCAAGCCCTCTCCTTGGTGTGTAGCTTTTAATGGAGAGTGAAGTGTGTTTATATCTAAGGATACTGAGGGAGGTTTGCAAATTTCTACACTTTTTTTTTCTGATTTGTTGGATTACTGTTTTTCCTTCCTTTCCCTATTTGATATTAAGGATTGCTGGTTTACTGTGCTAGGCATGATGGACTAATAATGCCCATTCTTACTTTTAGGATATCAACAAATCCTTAATGATTAATCACTTTGCATATGCCTGTGGTTTGCCTTTAGATACAGTGTGAACAGAAACATTTTACTGTAAAGCACAGCACATTGACTGCTGCTGGATGTCATGGGAGTTTCTCAGAACACAGTATCTGGGGGACGAGATACAAGGATGAAACAGGAACCAAGTAACTTCAGTCCTAGAGGATGTGAACACCACTCCGTGTGTGTTCGAAAGCTCAAGGATTGGATTAGAAGTTCACAGCTCAGACTCGTGCAGACCAAACAGGAGCTGAAGAAACAATAGTGGCCTGTGGCGACTCACCCTTTTAATCCCAGCACTGAGTCAGAGGCAGATGGGTCTCTGTGAGTTGGAGGCCATCCTGGTCTACAGAGTGAGTTCCAAGACAGCCAGAGCTATACAGAGAAACCCTGTCTCAAAAATCCAAAAAAAGAAGGAGAAAGGAGAAGAGGAGGAGGAGCAGAAGAAAGCAGCTACCACAGCCCTGGTGCCCTCAGGGATCTTCAAGTACTTGGTGGAAAATGGTTATTTTGAAATGAGTCAGAGCTAAGAGAGAAGTTGCAGACATGTTTATCCTACGGGCCACGCTGACACCTGGATCTGTGGGCAAAGTAACTAGAGGAGCTGAGGGTTTGATGTTGGACTCTGTTGCAGCAACACAGGCAACCAAATGAAGCTGAGTGGACTGGAGACAGACCGGGCTCAGTTTAATACCAACACAGGTCCAGGGGCAGACGACTCCCAACGTGTGGCCATGGACACGGGGCAGTGGGATTGGGATTGCTGGTGGCCCCTTCTCTAGGCAGCCCTCTGCCCACATCCCCACCTACTCCAACTCCTGCTGCCCCTCTCTCTCTCTCTCTCTCATTCTGAATCTTGTAGGAAAAAAATACACCGAATTTTTCTTGGGGTGGTGGTGGCATCATCTGACCCAGGTGTGGTTTAATAGATCAATATTGTAGAGCAGACACTCGGCGCAGTCGGTGGGGAACATGTGGGTTTGGTGCAGGCAGCGAGGAGACGGCCCTTGTTTCAGACTTGTTGACAACCACAGTGCGATTTGGATTTGGTATTTTCCCCTTTGACTGGCATAACTGCAGGTTTATCCAGTAGTGGTAACGTTAAAATCAATTTCCCTTGAGTCTAGCATCAATAACCGCAATAGTTTTGCTTAGCAAACACCAATGTCTCGTCAACACTTACTGTTGGAAGCTCCTTCCGCGTGAAGGCCGAGGTCAAAGAGCTGTGAAGGGAGGAACTGGGAGGATCCCACCGGAGGCTCCTGGGCTGTGAGGCCAGCACTGGGGCTCCCGCAGGCCGTCTGGCATTCCTGTGTACGCTCACTAGCACTCGAAGAAGTGGGGCTTAGGAGGCTGTTCAGAAATGCGAATTCTTTCTCAAAATCATCTCCTTCCAGCAAGTCTCTAGGTAGAGCTTTTGCCACTGCTGGTTGAGAACAGGAAGAGGAAGGGTTTTATTTCCTTTTGAGGAAACGAGAGCAGGATGTAGGAGAACTAATTGTTTTTCCCTTATAGCATGAACACGATTTCAAACAACTATACTGGCTGGACGGGGGTGGCTCACACTTAATCCCAGCTCTCGGGAGGCAGAGGCAGGTGAATCTCTGAGTTTGAGGCCAGCCTGATCTACAGAGGGACTTCCAGAATAGCCAGGTCTAAAGTCTCAAAAAACCAACCAAACAAAAACCCTTTCCTATACTCTTCCTCCTTCCTTGATGGCAATCTCAAATTTGGCTCAGAGATTGTTCATCCTGTTATCAGCTTTTCAATTATAAATTGAGTCTGATCTTTTCCCAGGGGTCACAAACTATGTAACAGTTCCCTTCTTACACCCAGTGTGGTTCCTGAGCAGTGAACTCAGGTTTGATGGCAAGAGCCATTCCACCTACTCCCAACCCGACTTTTTGGATGGGTGTTGGGGCCCCAAGCTCAGGCCCTGTCCTTGTGCTGTTAATACTGACTGGGTATCTGCCCAATCCCTGCCTCATTTTTATATTTTATATGTATGAATGTTTGGCCTGCATGTATGTACATGTACCAGTGAGCATGTAAATCACCCCAGTGTGGGGCACTTGAGTTCTGAGGCCAAGTACAGGAAACCTGAGGCGAACTTGGACGTAGGGCGCCATCTAGTACTAAACCAGTGGAAGTGTCCACTGCCTCAGAGAAATCAAACTGACATTTTGCAAGGGCAGCCACAAACAAAGTCTTCAACGTGAAAACACAGTTTGTGGATAAAAAGAAAAAAAAAATCTCAAAGACAGGCAACTGGAGGAGAAAATATGAGAACTGGAAAAACAAGAAATGCAGTACAGTACTAAAGAGTCAGCATCCAGTCATTTTAGTTAAAGAGGGAGGTGAGAAGGACAAATTACCAAAGACTTCCCAGACCTAGCGGGGGCTATGAAGGCCCAGGAAAGTCAGAAGGCTCCAGCCACACTCACCAAGGAGGAAGATAGGCAGTGGACTCCCCAGTGTTAGTGTTAGAGCAAGCGTACATAAAGCCGGCTGGTTCTGCTTGGAGCAGTCTATGCCACAGAATATTCACAGCTCAAGAGATGGTGGTGTGAGGTGTTCACGGTATTCATGGAAACTGGTAGCCAAGAATACCACACCCAGAAAAGCTGTCTTTTAAAAATGAAAAAGTAAGCCAAGCGCTGGTGGCACACACGTCTTTTATCCCAGCATTTGGGAGGCAGAGGCAGGTGGATTGCTGTGAGTTCGAGGCCAGGACAGGCTCCAAAGCTACAGAAAAACCCTATCTCGAAAAGCCAAAAAAAAAAAAAAAAAAAAAGGTAAAAGACAAAAACTGGGGAAATTATTTCTCTCCTTCAGACTTTATGACAAAAGCAAGCTGAAAGAGATTCTAACGCTAACGCTGGGCAGTGGTGGCACATGCCTTTGATCCCAGCACTTGAGAGGCAGAGGCAGGCGAATCTCTGTGAGCTTGAGGCCAGCCTGGTCTACAAGAGCTAGTTCCAGGATAGTTAGGACAACAGAGGACCCTGTCCTGAAAAAGGGGAAGGGAAAGCTAGCAAGGAAAGCAGTACACACATAATCCAGAAGTCATAAAACTCACAATTATTACAATTCTCTAATACAAACATGATGCATATGCTATGCATGTCATTAGCAATGGCCTAACTAACAACGTGAGTAAAAACAACAATAACTACAGTATGGTAGGAGAAAACCACGGAGCCAACCCTCACCTCTACACGTGGACCGTGGCATGCAAGCATCCACATACACAGTCCCACACTCAAATGTAATTTTTTGTTTGTTTGTTTTTCAAGACACAGGGTTTCCCTGTGAAGCCCTGACTGTCCTGGAACTCTCTCTGGAGACTAGGTGGGCCTCAAACTCAGAACTCAGAAATCTGCCTGCCTCTGCCTCCCAAGTTCTGGGATTAAAGGTGTGTACCACCACCACCCAGCAATAAATGCAATTCTTAATAATTAAACACAAAGACTGAAGCCAGGTGCGGTGACATATACTGTTAATCTCTGCACCTGCGAGACAGAGGCTGATGAACTGGATCTCTGAGCTCAAGATCACTCTGGTCTACATAGTGAGTTCCAGGACAGCTGGAGCTAAGTATGAGCAAGAGCCTGTCTTGAAAACAACAAAACCCAAAGGTTGGGCACAACGGTGCATACCTTTAATTCCAGTACTTGGGAGGCAGAGGCTGGTGGATCTGTGTGAGTTTGAGGCCAGCCTAGTCTAAACAGAGATCCTAGCTCAAAAAATTAAGATATAAAATAAGACATCAAAATTTCAAAATAGGCCTGAGGGTGTAGCTCAGTTGATAGTGTCTTGCTGGGCATGTACAAGGCCCTGGCTTCAGACCCTAGAACTCCGTAAGACAGGCATGTTGGCACATCTCTATAATCTCAGCTCTCCAGAAGCAATGTAAGGAGGATCTTAAGTTCAGTGTCATCTCTAGCCAGTTTGAGGTCATCTTGGGCTACAAGAGATTCCACAAATGTAGATGGCTTTCAATTTTTTGTTTGTTTGTTTTCTCTGTAGCTCTGGCTGTCTTGGAACTCGCTTTGAAAGAGATCCACCAGCTTCTGCCTCCCTGAGTGCTGGGATTAATGGCATGCACCACCACTGCCTGGCTGGGCTGCCATATTGGGTATTGGAAACCAAACCCAGGTCCTCTGCAAGATCAGTAAGTGTTCTTAAACTTCTGAGCCACCTCTCCAGCTTCTAGAAGATTTTTTGAAACTAGTATTTTCACTCTTTGTGATCAGTGTTGAGTTGTTACTATTACACATATATAAGTCTTAAGATAATCCACAAAGCAAAGACTGCAGTTGACACACCAAAACTAAAGGGACTCAAAACACACTGAAGATAAGTCACCCACCCCAGAGGAAAACTGCAGTTGAGAAGAAACTATAATAACACTTTAAAGCTGGTGCTAAAGTGGTAGGAGCAAGGGAGGTCATGCTAGTGCGCACCTTTAATCCCAGCACTCGGGAGGCAGAGGCAGCTGGATCTCTGAGTCTGAGACCAGCCTGGTCTACACAGAAAGTCCATGGCCACAGAAAAACCCTGTCTCAAAACGGGGTGCGGTGGAACATGCAGCAAAACCACACACAGCAATAATCAAAAAATGTAAGTGGATTAAATTTTACTCCATTAAGAGTCAGCAACTGGTGACTGAATGTATGTTTTAAAAGTCCCAATTATATATGGCTTAAAAGAAACTTGTTTCAGCCTCTCAGTCTTACTAGGGAGGAACCTACGTGAGATGTGAACAAAGTGAAATTATAAAGTGGTAACATTTTAAATGCAATTTAAATCAATATTTTAAAATAATCCTTTAAAAGAGTGTGAAAAAACCCAGGATAGCCAAAACAATCCTATACAATAAAGGAACTTCCGGAGGCATTACCATCTCTGATGTCAACTCTATTACAGAGCTATAGTAATGAAAACAGCTTGGTATTGGCATAAAAACAGAGGCATTGATTGACCAATAGAATCAAATTGAAGACCCGAATATTAATCCACAAACCTATGTACACCCGATTTTTGACAAAGAAGCTAAAATTATTCAATGAAAGAAAGAAAGCATCTTCAACAAATGGTGCGGGCATAACTGGATGTCAACTTGTAGAAGAATGAAAATAGATCCATATCTATCCTCATGCACACAACTCAAGTCCAAATGGATTAAAGACCTCAATATAAATCCGACCACACTGAACCTGATAGAAGAGAAAGTGGGAAGCAGCCTGCAATACATGGGCACAGGAGACCACTTCCTATGTAGAACCCCAGTAGCACAGACAATAAGAGCAATGGTGAATAAATGGGACCTCCTGAAACTGAGAAGCTTCTATAAAGCAAAGGACACACTCACTAAGACAAAAAGGCAACCTACTGAATGGGAGAAAATCTTCACCAACCCCACATCAGACAAAAGTCTGATCTCCAAAATATATAAAGAACTCAAGAAACTAGACCTTAAAATTCTAATTAACCCAATTTAAAAATGGGGTACTGAACTGAACAGAGAATTCTCAACAGAAGAATTTCAAATGGTCAAAAGATACTTTAAGGACATGTTCAACTTTCTTAGCTATCAGGGAAATGCAAATCAAAACAACTTTGATAAACCATCTTACACCTGTCAGAATGGCTAAAATTAAAAACACCAATGATAACCTATGCTGGAGAGGATGTGGAGTAAGGGAAACACTCATCCACTGCTGGCCGGAAATCAAACTTGTACAGCCACTTTGGAGATCAGTGTGGTGGTTTCTCAGAAAATTGGGAATCCACCTACCTCAGGACCCAGTAATACCACTCTAGGGAATATACCCAAGAGATACCCTATCATACTACAAAAGCATTTGTTCAACTATGTTCATAGCTGCACTATTTGTAATAGCCAGAACCCGGAAACAACCTAGATGCCCCTCGATGGAAGAATGGATAAAAAAGTGTGGCACATCTACACATTAGAGTACTACTCAGTGGTAAAAAACAATGACATCTTGAATTTTGCATGGAAATGGATGGAAATAGAAAACACAATCCTGAGTGAAGTAACCCAGACCCCAAAATATGAATATGGTATGTACTCATTAATGGAGTCTAACCATAAACAGAGGACATTGAGCCTATAATTCACAATCCTAGAGTAGTTAATAAGGTGAACGCAGAGAAAAACATATATAGATCCTCCTGGAAATTGGAAGCAGATAAGATTGCTGGGCAAAAGTTGGGAGCATGGGGGTGGGGGTGGGATGGGGGAAGGGGAGAGGGGGAGAGACAGGGAGAAGGGGAGGGTTGGGGAGAGCTTGGGGGAGTGGGATGGTTGAGATGGAAGAAGGACTGATATGGGAGCAGGGAAGGAGATATATTAATTAAGGGAGGCATTGTGGGGTTCGTAAGAGGCTTGACTCTAGAGGGGTTCCCAGGTATCCACAGGGATGTCCCCAGCTAGGACCCTGGGCAGTGGAGGAGAGGGGGCCTGAACTGGCCTTGTCCCGTAATCAGACTGATGACTATCTTGAATGTCACCATAGAACCTTCATCCAGCGACAGATGGAGATAGAGACAGAGACCCACATCGGAGCACTAGACTGAGCTCTCAAGGTCCAGTTGAAGAGCTGAAGGAGGGAGAAGATGAGCAAGGAAGTCAGGACCACGAGGGGTGGGTCCACCCACTGAGACAGTGTGCCTGATCTAATGGGAGCTCACCAAGGCCAGCTGGACTGGGACTGAACGAGCGTGGGATCAAACTGGACCCTCTGAATGTGGCTGACAATGGGGGCTGACTGAGAAGCTGGCACTGGGATTTGTCTCTACTGCATGTACTGGCTTTTTGGGATCCTATTCTATTTGGATGCTCACCTTCCTAAGCCTGGATGTTGGTGGGAGGGCCTTGAACTTCCCACAGGGCAGGGTATCCTGCCCTCTCTTAGGACTGGAGGGGGAGGGAGGGAGGGGAAGTGGGAGGGGAAGAAGTGGAAATTTTAAATGGTATTATTTATAAAGTAATAAAAAATAAAAACTTTGGAAAAAGAAAAAAATAAAAGTGTGACAAATTATTTTGACATTAAAATGTAGCCATGTCAGGTGAAGGCATCTGCCGTCTTACCTGGTTCTTTCTCACCGCTTTCTTCCTCTTCTGACAAAGCTACCCTACAGTAAAAACAGACTTTAGTTAAAGTACGTTTGAGGGTCATAGCCCCAGTTACATGAAATTAAAATTTTAATTCAAGAGGTACATAAAACTTGTCTGGTAGATCAAGTCTGTAACAGAGTATGCCCTATTTCTATAGATTTTATAGATCTGCACAGACTGTAAAAAGCTTTATTCTTACTTTCTTTTTCCTTTTTGTTCGGGGGGGGGGTTCAAGACAGGGTTTCTCTGTAGCGCTGGCTGTCCTGGAACTCACTCTGTAGACCAGGTTGGCCTCAAACTCAGAAATTCACCTGCCTCTGCTAGGATTAGAGACGTGTACCACCACTGCCTGGCTCCTTGTTCCTGTTTCTTACCCCCATCTCAGTAAACACTAACTCAGTCTTTTTTTTTTTTTTTTAATCAGGATTGTAGGCACTGGACCAAAACAAGGCTGGAAATTCCTAATTTGGAAATCTGAACTCCAGAATGTCCACAGTCTTCTGAACACAAAACTTATAGGAGAAATGGAAAACTTTGTTATCATGAGGCTTGTTTTATGTGCGCACTATTTAAAGGAGAGTAACATTGCCTCAGGTTGCAAACAAAAGACACACAGAACTCACACTAGTTCCTTTCCTCTCTGCCTATATCTTCTCTTCAGTGAGGACTTCTAAAAGAGCAGGGAACACGGGTAGAATTATGTGGAAATTTCTGGAGTCTTTGTTCTCACTGAAGAAACCACTGCATGCCAGCAAGCTGTATAACAATACTCTTGCTACTTTCTTTCTTTCTTTTTTTTTTAAAATATTTATTTGTTTATTATGTATACAGTATTCTTTCTGCAGGCCAGAAGAGGGCACAGGCCTCATTACAGATGGTTGCGAGCCATCATGTGGTTGCTGGGAATTGAACTCAGGACCTTTGGAAGAGCAGGCAATGCTCTTAACCACTGAGCCACCTCTCCAGCCCCTCTTGCTATTTTCTTTACTGTGTTTTAGAGTATTGCCTACAGACTTTGGACATTATTATTTGAATTAAAATTATCCTAATCAATTAAAAATATATAAGAAAGCATAAATAAATTTCATGTTTAGATTTGGAACCCATCCCTAAGATATCTCAGTATGCTTATTCAAATATACCAAAATTCTATTTTGAAGTCTGAGAAACGGAACATTTGCACACACACCTAACTACAAGGGTTAGCGCCCTTGCTCTGTGCCTCCCAGAGCTTCTGGCTGCAGAGCGAGATGCTCCATTTTAAAGCACTGGGGGCTGGGGTGGCCTTTACTTAACTTGTAGGAACCAAAATGGAGGAGACAAACACCCCACTTTGTGGCATTCTACTTTGAATAATAAAGGGATATGTGTCAAAGAAGATAAGACAAGCTAGCCGATGGCCTCGCTAGTCAATGGTCACTTCCAGTAGCTAGCTAACGTGCTGAGTTAGAACACCCTGTATCAGGAGTGGGGCACAGAAACTGTTCTTCCTGGGCATGGCTTCGCAGCTGTCAGTACTGAAGGCTTTTATTACAGCTTTAAAGACACTTAAAGACTAATACAGTAGCAACTTTAAAAAATATTAAGAATAAAAACAAAAAAAATCCTTTCAAAGTAAATAGAAACTTAGGATTTGGAATGAAAATATGTTTAAACAACTTGAATGAAAATGTTTGGGACTTTGCTTGATTGATTCTCAAAAGAGTAGCTGTTATACTATTGAAGGTGCGTAAGATTTTCAATGAAGCTTCCCTGGAAAAAACGCCATTCAACTATTTAGTCCTGACTCATTGTTGTTTTGGTTTTGTTTTTTGAGACAGGATCTCACTCTGTAGCTCTGATTGACCTGAAACTCACTCTGTAGGCCATGGTGGTGTCCAACTCACAGAGATCCACCTGCCTCCACCTCTTCAGTGCTGGGATTAAAGGTGTGTCACCACACCTGGCCTCATTCATGATTTTAAATGTCAACATGGAATCAAGATAAACTTAATTTATACAGTTGTATACAACAAACATTTAGTTTGGATTTCCCACAGAGAAATAATATGGTTGGGGAATCACCGTCCACTCAGTACCTGTCACTACCAGCAGGGTTTGGCGCTGTCTTGGGCAGCAGAAGAACATGGCCGAGCACAGGGAAGAGGGCAGAGCAAGGCCCTTAGCTCCTAGTCTCAGCTGTGTCCTTGGAGATGGGCTTCTAACAGTGGCTAGGCCGGTCCCTGCCTGTGCTCCTGCTGTCCCTTCCAGGCTCCCCTATGGAATTCAGTTCTCAGCACAGTGCACAGCCCTCCTCGTGACAGAATCTGGAGTTGTCACCACAGCTTTTGCTGACTTACTTGTTGAGGTCTGCAGTAAGACAGCTTCCTTCTGCTGCTTCTTCCTTGTCATCTGCAGTGACATTACTTGGTGTGTCTTGTAGTCGCTAAGGATAAAAAACGTAATATTAAGTAGATTGAAAAAAATCTATTCCTTTTTTCAAACAAAAGGAAAGTAAAAACTTTAGGCAACCGTATAAAATAGAAATCGTTCTGAATATAGAGAGAGAGCCGTGAGAATGTGGGTTGGTGTAATTTGCACTGAGCCCCTTGCACACCGTTCTTCATCCTGGCTGTCCGTGGAAAGGTTAGCAACCTGTGGTTGGGTTCAAGGAAAACAATGCACTGTTGGCTGCACCACCGTCCTCAGCACATAGCTAAACACGTTCCACTTCCATTCTGAGGAGAAATCAGGCACGTAATTTTCCCTAAATAACGTATTATTAACTGAAGCATTTATTAGAGAAAAACTTAAAAAGCAACTTTAGCAGGGCAGTGGTGGCACGCGCCTTTAATCACAGCACTCAGGAGGCAGAGGCAGGCAGATCTCTGTGAGTTTGAGACCAGCCTGGTCTATAAGAGCTAGTTCCAGGACAGACTCCAAAAAGCTACAGAGAAACACTGTCTTGAAAAATAATAATAAAAAAGCAACAAACAAACAAACAACCTTTAATCAAGGGCAGCTTTGGGGCTGAAGGTGTTACCTTGTAAAATGACTTTTAAATGAGTAGGCTCTGGTGGTTTGTGCCTTTAATCCTAGTCTAAGCCCTCTCTGAGTTCACGGCCACAGTAAGACCCTTTCTCAAAAAAGAAAAAACTTAAAAGGATATAGTGATATTTCATTTGTATTTTGATAAATAAAGCGTGCCTGAAGATTAGACAGTAAAACAGCCCCACTGGTCAGCCTTACCGGCCCACACCTTTAATCCCAGTAGCCACACTAGTTTGCCGCAGAAGTCAGGCAGTAGGGGTGCACACCCTTAATCCCAGCACTAGCGAGGAATATAAAACAGGAGGAGACATGTCTCAGACGGAGTCTCATTCTGAGATTCCTGGAGGCAGGATCGCCATTCTGGACTGAGGTAGAGGTAAGAGCCAGTGGCTGGCTGTTTTGCTTTTCTGACCTTCAGGCTGAACCCCAATATCTGTCTCTGGGTTTTTATTGATCGTGCTATAAAAGGGGACTGAAGAAATGGCTCGGCAGTTAAGAACACATGCTGTCCTTCCAGAGGACCCAAGTTCAGTTCCCAGCACCCACATCAGGCAGCTCGCAAGCACCTCTAACTGCAGTTCCAGAGGATCAGACACCTCTAACGTTTGCAGGCACCTGTGTATATATATTACTGAGTCACCACCTCCAGCTCCACATCTCCTGTGTTTCTATTCTTCCCTCTTCTCCTGTCACACCAGTACCACAGCATGCAAGGAGGTCCCTGTGTATTTTAGTGCAACTGGTGACTTCAGAACCTAGAGGGTACAGATCGTAAAGAGTGGGGAAAATGTTTCCCAAGGTTTCATGAATTTGGAACTTAGCTTAGCTAAAGGCAGCGTTGGTGTTATCACCCAAAGAAGCGAGCCCAGGAGACGTACCTTGAGAGCTATGAAGTCGTACGGATGAAAGCCAGCACAGGCCTCCTGGATTTGGGACATCGTTTGAGCTGTTTTCTCCCAGAACCCAAGCAATGTTCTCTGCGGAAAAAGGAAAGGCAACACTGCAGTCCTGCCCCTTCTGAGATCTGTTTGAGGCTGCTTCCTTACTTCTGTCGTGTGCTCAACAGCAGATAGGAACTGATCCAGCTGTCACAGAATGGGGATCAGAAGGAACTATGGCTCACAGTTCTTCACTAAGGTTAGCACCCGGGTCTGCATGGACAAGCGCCCATCTGTATATAGCGTTGGAGTGTACCAGAGAAGGACTATAGCTCCTAATAAGAGAAGGAAAACCAGTGGGTCTAAGATGGAAGAGAAAGAAAACTAATGTACGCCAGAACAGAAACATCAAAGGCATAGAACATGAATCTCCATATGTGTAATCTCTATGTTAGCCTATATAAGTATTTATGTGTGTGTGCATGTCATGGTGTGCCTACAGAGGTCAGAGAATACCTTGAAGGAGTTGGTTCTCTCCTTCTATCATGTGGGTTCCAGGGATCAAATTCAGGTCATCAGGCTTGATAGCAAGCATATTCACTTGTTGAGCCATCTTGGCCCGTGAGAATCTTTTTCTGAGTGTTTTGGTTTGTGAGACAGGGTCTTACTGTGTAACCTTGACTGGCCTGGAACTAGCTCTAGAGACCAGGCTGGTCTAGAACTCAGAGATCCACCTACCACCACTTCCCCATAAATACCTTTTCATTACAGAAAATATTTCCTACTTTGGCCTTTAAGGGCTCAGGAAAGACTTGACCCCCTCAAAATGTTTACTTAACTAACTCAGGTAATTTGTAATCTTTCTTGTTGCTTCAAGATTCCTGTCCCAAGACCAAGCCTGAATAGAGAGAACAGAGACGCACTGAGCTAATGGCTGTTGAACTACGGATCGTCAATGCTTTCATTTCATCTCATCTTTTCTTGAGTCTTGAATCCCATAGTACCAAGCTGAATTAAGCATACTGCTTTAAGACAGCAATGAATAACCACCTCCTTCCACTATTCTCTCCTTATTCAAATACAGTTTTCTGTTTGCTGTTTTCAAATACACAGTAACCTCCGCAACTACTACTTGTAAATAGCTAGCATTCATCGTAAATAATTCACGTGACTTGAGGGCAACATAAGTGCACGTTGGAATATTTGCTTACAATGCAAAGATGGGCTGTATTTGTTTAACTATGTAAAAATATGTTGCCTTTGTTTATGTTGCAGAATATTTGCTTAACCATGCAAAGATATTTTGCATTTGTTTATATAAAGATGTGTTGCATTTGTTTATATAAAGATGTGTTGCATTTGTTTATGTAAAGATGTGTTGCATTTGTTTATGTACAGATGTGTTGCATTTGTTTATATAAAGATGTGTTGCATTTGTTTAACAACCTTGCCTGTCTAAGGCACCTGATTGGTCTAATAAAAAGCAGAATGACCAATAGCAAGGGAAGAGATATAGGTGGGACTTCTGGGCAGGGAGAGTAAGTAGGGGGAGTTTAGACTCAGGGGAAGAAAGAAAAAGATGGCAGGGGCCAGACAGACAGACATGGAAGAAGCGGGAAAAGCAGGACGTACAGAATGAAAGAAAGGTAAAAGCCCTGAGACAAAACATAGATGACTAGAAAGAGGTTAAATTAAGTTAAAAGAGCAGGGGGAACAAGCCTAAACTAAAGCCAAGCCTTCATAATTAATAATAAGTCTCTGTCTTTATTTGGGAGCTGGTTGGTGGGCCCAAGGAAAATTCCAGCTACAGGTGAGACTTGAGAATTTAGTCATGTAGAACGGCAGATAAAAGGAATACTTGACCTCGACTGGGCTAACTTAGGTTTTAAAGCCCAAATTATCATTTACTTAATTGGTTTAATTTTATTTATTTATCTGTCTATTTATTTAGGTTTGTTGAGACAGGGTTTTTCTGTGTAACAGCTCTAGCTGCCCTAGAATTTGCTTTGTGGACCAGGTTAGCTGCAAACTCGCAGAGATCCGCCTGCTTCTCTCTCCTGGAATTAAAGGCGTGAGCCATCACAAATGAACCTTGCTTCATTTTCTTTATTCATTACTTGATACAAAAGTTTTCAAACTTTTTGGACTATGGTGTTCTTTTTGCTTTTTGGTTTATTTTGGTGACAGAGTCTGGATGTGAACTCTCAGTCCTCCTGCCTGTGCTCTGGAATGCTGAGATTACCTGGCTGCCCCTACAGCTGGCTGCCCCTACAGTATCACTGCCTCAAACAAAAGTATATGTAACCAGAGTTTATGAGCCTTAAATTTTACCTCCTCACCGTTTCCCCTTTCTTTTCCTTTTTTATTTTTTTAATTTTAATTTTATTTGCTTTTTTTGAGACAGGGTTTCTCTGTGTAGCCCCAGCTGTCCTGGAACTCAATTTGTAGGCCAAACTCAATTTCTGACTCCCAGCTCAGAGACTGGTCTGCCTCTACCTCCCGAGTGCTGGGATTAAAGACTTGCGCCACCACTGCCCAGCTTACCGTGCCCCCTTTCGACCTCAGAAAGTCTCTAAATCTTTCACTCTGCTAGGACCGAAAAGAGGATAGTGTGAAACTAGAATACAAACAGTCTCTAAGTCTCTCTCAGTCAGAGCCATATGGTTGGTTCTGTCTCATTTACAACTCACAGGGACCTGATCAATGATAGAGATTTTCTTGCACCCAGTAGACTACTTGTAAAAAGGAATCCCACGACTTATCTTTTCTGCGAGAATGTGCTGACCGTGAGTGGGCGTGTACCTGGTAAGTAGTCAGTGAATGAGACAGCATGTTGCAGCGACTGGCTCCAAGCAGATCCACTTTCTGACAGACATCCATCTTTAACTTGTCAAAAGAACCTTTGCTATTTTTCACTTGGATCTGTACCTGTAATCACAAAAAGAGTCCATTATTCCCGGTATCAAAGATGGAAATCTAATGGACCTGAAATTAATTTCTCCAGACACGTGGGATTATAACAGTTCCTTTCTGTGTGTCATTGTCATTCCATGATTAATGAGGGAGACTTTAGCTACTTTTTGACAATTGTAGGCGATTCTCTCTTATATTTATTACATATTTGCTCATTTGTGTAGCAGGGGGCATGTGTGTGTGGAGGTCAGAGAACAGCGTGTGGGAGTTGGTTGTCTCCTTTCACCATGTCAGTTCTGAGGATGGAATTCAAGCTGTCAGACTTGAGGTGGGCACCCTGACCCTCGGAGCATTTCACTGGCATCCGATAGCTAACTGTAAGGTGGGAAAATCTGAGATGAAAAATGAAAATCATCTGGTTAAGAAGAAAAAAAGTGCCCCAGATAAAAATAGATGTTTGGAATGTTTAGGATACATACAGTATATAGTAAGAGTAGAAGCAAAATCTGGAAGGGCTAAGGAGGTGGTTCAGTGGGCAAAGGCACTTGACCTGAGTTTGATCCTTGGGACCCATACGGTAGAAGGAGAGAACCAACTCCGAGTTATCCTCTGTCAATTACAGAGGATACAATTACATGCTGTGGCATGTGCTCACACACAAAATAAATGAATAAATGTAGTAAGTTTTAGAGACAAGCATATTCTAGTGATATATGTGCATTTCACAAACAATAAATAAAATGTAATAAATTTAGAAGAAGAAGTAGAAGACATAGTCAAATGTTGGGAGGCATTAGTATCTCTAAATCATTGAAGTATTTATATATTTAAATTGTTTCTTAATAAATGTCATTGGGCAATATAAACACTGACTTTGAAATGTTTATCCATTCACTGACTTAACTAATATCTACAAGTTGTCCAGTATATGAAGCACCATTCTGGGAACTGAGCTTTGGTGACAAACAAAACAAGTGTTCACCTCACCGCTGTCAGGCAGGGAGGGGCAGAAGAAAGGAAAATCACTGCAGGGGGGTCTCTCATCCTGGAAACATACTGAAGACATGAACAGAATTTGAATGACCACTGAACCACCAGGAAGGCCCTCCTTGGCGAGCTGGGGTAAAGCTGGCACAGGAAGGAGGTGGCAGCTGCACCAAGACTCTTGGGGCGAGTAGTCCAGGACAGGGGACAAGGCTCGGAGGAGCAAAGCTTTGGTGACAGCAGTCAAGTGTCCGAAAGCTGTGTGGGATGAAGGACCAGACAGGAATCTGTGCTGCTCTGGCTGCAGGATGAGCACTCACCCATTTCACAGGACTGCCGACAGGAGTCACCGTTTACAGCTAGAGCCGTTGTGGAAGTGGGAGCCTCAGCTGAGAACACACCACCACCACCACCACCACCACCACCACCACCACCCTACGGCACATGTCGATGGCCTCTGTTGCTGTTTTCTTGATTGATGTGGGAGGGCCCAACTCACTGTGCTGTGGAACTGCAGCTGAAACAAAGTCTTTCCTTGCTAGTTTGCTTTTGGCTGTGTTCTCTCAACAGCAACAAAGTAACTGAGGCACCAGGCACGCTACTCACAATATCTGGCAGGTTAGTGCCCTCAGCATTAACCATCAGGACGTTACTATAGGTTCTATATAAAATGAATTTAGTGGATGAATTTTAATATCCATATCTGGTAAACTTAAGGTAGTATTTATCTTTATATATAAGAACTCTACCTGGGAGCTACATCTTCATCCCTGGGGGATATAATTTAACAAAACTATGTTTATGAGTTGCTGTGGCAGAATAAGAAAATCTAAAAACCTCCACTTTTTCTTAGAACTCACAGTCATTTCACATTATTTTTATCTCAGCAATTAATGCATTTGCCCACTAGTAATAAACTATTTTCTATCTGTACATAAATTCTAAAATTCTAGGTAAGCAATATTTAAACTGTGATTGGAGGTTTTGAGAAAGGGATTAAGAGAGTAGGAGTAGATGCCATTTAGAGAAGCATGTTTGTTGGAATATCCAAGCAACCAAGATTTGATTTTAAAACGTATTTCTCAAAAAATAGTCTTGAGCCAGGTGCAGTGGTGTACACCTGTAATCTCAGCTCTCAGGAAACTAGGCAGGAGTGTGCATTCCTGCCCTGCCTGGGTTAGACAATGAGATCCTATCTTTTTTTTTTTTTAAAAAAAAGGCTAATATTTTATTATCACTGTTAAATTATTCTGTATTAGTTCTCTATGTTAGTCTCAAGAAAAGGAGGGCAGGAGAGATGGCTGCTCTGCTCTTCCAGGTCCTGAGTTCAGTTCCCGACAACCACATGGTGACTCACAGCCATCTCTAATGGGATCCAGTGCCCTCTTCCCGTGTGCAGACATACATGCAAACAGAGCACCCACATACATAAAAGACACGGACAAAACTAAAAGAAGGGAAAGGGATACGTTTTCTTACTTTTCTAAACTTTTCCATTTGTTTTAAGGTGTCTGGGTCGAGCTCCTGGGATGCATCCTTCATCCACAGCAGGGCTCCTCTGTATTCTGTGCGAGCCCGCTCCATACGATTAATGGTCATCAAAGTGTCAGAAACGGCCCTCTGGCTGAACGTTGCTACTTCTTGCTTAAGACGAGACAGGGGAGTGTACAAGGCCAATCTAATAGTAGAGAGATAAAGATCAGAGGATTGTACATCCATAAGTAAAATTCTAGACACATCGCAACATGTATTTACCATGATGATGAGTCACAAACATGCCTAGAAGATTTAGAAAGCAGACTGAGTTGCTAGGAAAGGTGTTCCTACAGGTCCACCCCTTTTAACTTTAGGAAACAGAACTTGGTAGCATTGCAGATGTTGATCCAGATAAATAACCCAGCAGGCACATCTACCATCTAAAAAGAGTTCTGAGACCACAAAGGACCTGAGTGTGAAAATCACAGTCTCCTCCCAGAGTGCTCAGTTGGCAAGTGTAGGGGAAGCAGGGCTTTAAAAGTTCTATTAAAATGCCAGGAGAACTAAGGAGGATACAGTTCTTGACAGCCGAGTGAGGACGGGAACACAGGTGTTTAAGGAGCACAAATCAAACCCAGCTACTCTTAAGGCTGCTTTCAATACAGCGGCGCTAGATGCCCGGGACCCACTGGCAATTCTTTTAAGGACGATTTCTGCACTGATACGGCACTGCAGAATAAAGCCACTTGGGCAGACATCACACTGCAGAACCCGGTGAGGTCAGTGTTCTCATTTTTTCTGTATTACAGGATTTGAGCTGTACTTAGAGAATATATATGTCATATATGTGTGTATATGAGATAGTCTTTGTAATACATATCTTTATGCTAAACACTGTGAAATAATAAGTGGAAAGCATGTAGATAAGAAAGAAAAAAACCAGGCTGGGTTTGGTGGGACAGGCCTTTAATCCCAGCACATGGGGAGGCGGAGGCAGATGAGTATTTATGAGTTCAAGGCTAGCCTGGGAGACATATAGTGACCTTTTCTTTCTAAAATATATATATAAATAAATAATAAAAGATTTTAAAAAGTTTCAATTTAATCATAGATAGTATATGTCAACAAAAGTAATGACTTGAGGAAGGGTATTGCAAGGGTCCTGTGTCCACTAGGATGCGCGAGGCCTGGGGGTGCCTGTCAGCATCACAGAAAACAGGGAGACGGAAAAATATTAACCATTCTGTGACTCTATTATAGGAAACCATTTGAGAAATAGAAATGTAGCTCTAAATGCTGTTTTTAGGGATCAAGCAACAAAGAACATTAATTTTTAAGTAAATTCTTTTGAGTGCAAATGAATAATTAAAATCTAGCCATAAAACATATCTCCCCAAACACATTTCTCGTGAATGCCTTATGACAAGCTCTCTTTGCTAACTCCGTGAACTGAGCACACGTCAGAAGCATGATAGGATACAGAGTGAAAGGTGAGGGAAAGCCAGGCGGACCTTTGCTTGGCTGAAGAGCAGAGTGCCTTCCCGGCAGCATCCATCATTTTACCAGCTTGAGTGGTGTCCCGTTCTGCTTGGAACTTTAAAAAGAGACCTAGTTCATTTTCTTCCTCTGATATAACTAGAGAAAAAAATTACAGTTTAGTTCATTGTTTCATTTCATCATTTTCTTAAAACATACACTAGGGAGGAGACATGACTCTACAGGTAAAGGTGCTTGCCACCAATGCTGATGGCTTGAGTTCAATCCTTGGGACCCACATCTGGAAGGAGAGAACTGACCCTCCACACATGTGCTATGGCAGACAGACACACACACACGCCTGACATGCTGACCCTGCACACACATGCTATGGCAGACACACACACACACACACACACACCCCTGACATGCTCAGAGAACCGACCCTGCACACACGTGCTATGACAGGCAGACACACACACACACACACACACACACACACACACACACACACACGCCTGACATGCTCGGAGAACTGACCCTGCACACATGTGCTGTGGCAGACACACACACACACGCCTGACATGCTCAGAGAACTGACCCTGCACACATGTGCTATGGAAGTCTCACACTCACACACACACCCCTGGCATGCTGAGCGTCTCACAATAACTCTGTACTAGACTTGCACGGGAAGGAAGGAACACTTTAACATGTGAGCCTGTGTCTGCCTGTGGAAATGCTAATGTTGCCCATCTGAAACACACTGTAAGCGCTTCGGTAATTTGGATACAGAGTCAGCAGACCTTCCTTCTGGAAAACCAATGATTAATAACAAGCGAGTCATTTGCTAAGGTGCAGACATATACCACAGGAGGATTGCTTTTTTATACAAAGTATTTGTTTCTTGTTTGTAATTGCTGAATTATCTTGGCTCCCACTGCTCCCTATCCTAGACCCACAGACATCTGAGTCCTGCAGTTGTCACCTGGTGCACTGCCACCCAGTGTGGACCATGAAGGGATGGCTCACAGTGTTGCCTGATGTGAGAAGAGATGGAGGAAAAACAGAGACTTTTTTTTACTAATCTGACTACTTTCGTAGCTGTCACAGCCAACAAAAAACAAAAAACAGCGGGGCTTGGCTAAGAGTGGGTGGAACTCGAAACGTGCTTGGCACGCGTGAGGCCCCATGTGTACACAGAAGTAAGCTTAGGTTTTGTATGTTTTGTATGTTTTGTTTTTTATGGATTTGTTTTTGTTTTCGAGACAGGATTTCTCTGTGTAGCCCTGGCTGTCCTGGAACTCACTCTGTAAACCTCATTATCTTTGAATTCACAGACGTCCGCCTGCCTTTGCCCACTGAGTGCTGGAATTAAATGTACGCACCACCACTGCCTGGCTCTGAGACAGGGTCTTAGGATGCCTTGGCTCCCTGTGTAGCCCAGGTTGGCCTCCAGGTCATGATCTTCCTGCCTCAGTCTTTTAAGTACTGGGATTACACATAAGAAGCATCACGCCTGGTTTGCATGTTGTTTCTAGGAATACATTTTTGTCTGTTTTAGAGACAGTCTCCCCTACAGAACCCTGGCTATCCTGGAACTCACAGAGATCCACCTGCCTCTGCCTCCCAAGTGCTGGAATTAATTTGTGCACCACTATACCCAGCCTGGAACTAATTTTTATTACACTTGCTCCTCACCACAGAGTGGATCCAGATGTAGGACTCTCAGCTCTCTCTCTAGCACCGTATCTGTCTGCACGTCACCATACTTTCTGCCATGATGGTAATGGACTTAACTTTTGAACTGTAAGCCAGTCCCCCCACCCCCTTAAACATTTTCCTCTTAAGAGTTGTCATGGTGTCTCTTCACAGCAATAAAACCCTAAGACAGTATCCAATGTGGGCAGTACTGCATTTGTCTCAATAATAATAATAATAATAATAACAATAATAATAATAATATAAAATAATAATAATAATAATAATAATACTCACTTTAAAAGTAAAAACAATCCCAGCACTTAGGAGGTAGAGGCAGGTAGATCTCGGAGTTTGAGGCCAGCCTGGTCTATAGAATGAGTTCCAGGACAACTGGGACTACACAGAGAAAGACTGTCAAGAAAAAAGAAAAAGTAAAAACAAAACCCAAAGGGCAGCAGCGGAGCCCAGCTCTCTCCACTTGTAAGCTCTCTTCCCTCAGAACAAGGTGACACAACGAAGCGGTAGCCAACCACTCAACTAGTGTTACTATCTTTAATAACACCATACACCGTGCTATAAACAAGTAACAAGATCCAGAGCGGGTGATCTGGGGGACCTAGCCCTGGTAAAGCACCGATAACTGTTATCATAGCTACAAACTCAAAAAATTAAATCCCCCTTGGTTATCTTCTAAATATAGACTTAGAAATGCTTCCCATTGTCTGAAACACCTCTGTCCAATCTATACACCCAGCCCTCAGGACAAAAGAATGAGTGTTCTTGCTTCTAACCCAGAATCATTTTTTGGGGTCTCTCAACTTTTACTATGACTCAAAGGCATGAGTCTACTGGTTTTCCTACAGTGTAGATTTCAGCACAGATTACAAAGAGTAGAAATGCTTCTATGTCTAAAACTTTTATTTCTTTTTATAAACTTAAGAAATTCTTGTAAGCTTCAGGGAGTCATGAGACTTGGATATACCTCTCACAAACCAAACGGACTCCAGGTAAGTACTCCTGTCAATCAACAGCCCAAGCTTTCCCCCTACTCCCTACCCCACAGGGTGAGACTCCCCCTTCCCCTTGACTTGGAATTCCTCCTTTCCTCCAGTTACCAGTGTCAAGAGTACACCCAATACACAGCTTTTATCCTAAACTCCCTAGCTTTACTTTCTGTCCCTAGTCTCTCTCTACCCAGCAGATTTCCAATCAACTGAAGATTGCAAACTGCTTTAATATTGCTTGCAATGTGTCAGCCTTGGGCGTTTCAGAACCTGCATCCCAGAGTGCTTCAAAGTAGCCTGCATTTCCCTAGTCCCGGGTGGTCCCGTAGAACTGGGCAGCAAGCAAAAAACAAAACAAAACAATCCAAAAACAAAACAAAACAACAATTAAAAAAAAACTCAACAGATATCCTCAAGCCTGCATTTCCCTCTCCCCTTCCTGTCCTTTGACCAACATTCCTGTCTTCCTGGGCCCCAACAATGACACCCCATTTCAGCTCAGCAGTAGTTACAGATTGAGTAGTTACAGTTAGAGATTGTGCTGACCCCTATCATCAACAAAAGGCTGGCATGGGAGGTCTCAAAGAAACCCAGGACAAATGGCTAAGTGAGCAGACACTGGAATACCTCCCCCAGGTCACTCAGTATCTGTGGTTCCTCCCAGCACTTCTCACAACACCCCCTACCCTAAACCTCTCCAACCCAGGGTCTGGGCTTCAATTCCCTCCCTCACACACCGGCGTCTTTTCCTGTGTAGCGCAGCCGTCTTGGCTATATATGCTCTTGGTTCTTCTCTTGGCTATGCCCCTAGACTTCTGTTCATTGTTTGCCCTCTCTCTTCTACCCCACCCCCATGACCTGGTTCAGGCTGCTGACCCATTCAGCCCGGACTCCTCCAGATGTCTCTGGCTGTGCTCTCCTTCATATTTACAATAAAAACCTCAGTCATACCTAGGAGTGGTCATGTCCTCATTTTCGTTCAGGAATAATGTTAATGTAACATTCTAATTGCTTGAGAGGTATGAATTTTCTATGGCTCATAACTTTAATATTAGGGAAAATCATCACTTTTGTGTGAGGATTTAAAGCTCTCTGGGAACATAGAACACTTCGTTATCAGGTATAAAGAGAGCATAAATCATTGCTGAGCCTTACCTTTATAGAGGCTGAAAGCAGCAGGTGAAGCTCAACCTGTGCTGCTTTTGTGCTGGGACCAGCCTGCCAGTGTCAACAGACACCCCCCTCTGACAGGCTCATCCCGGGGCATAAAGATGCATAACACGGTTTGAGGGACACAGCAGACACTGAGCTCATACAGCTCAACACTCAGTCTCCTTTACAAAATGTTCCCAGTAGGTTAGCGGTTAAGAGCACTGGCTGCTCTTCCAGAGGTCCTGAGTTCAATTCCCAGCAACCACGTGGTGGCTCACAACCATCTGTAATGAGATCTGGTGCCCTCTACAGGCAGGATACTGTATAAATAAATAAATCTTTAAAAAAAAAATGTTCCCAGTATCGCCCTAACCTACTGTATTTGATAGTACGACCAGTGGAAGACATGTGAGTATAAGAGTCTGTAAAGGCTGAAAGATCTAGTGATTTCATGGCAAAATTGAAGGCACACAAACTTGCCAATGTTTCTAGACATTTCTATTTCAACGGACTATGATGGTCCAGTGGTCATGGCAGCCTTTTACAGCTTGGTGTTTTTGACCCTTAGTAATCTGGCCCTAAGTTTCCTTTGTTCTTCTCCCTTCTTAGTCTTAGTTACAAGCTCTTCCATGCATATGGGCTCTTTTCTTCCTTTACTAACCATTACCACATTCCCTTTGTCAATACTATACCCCACAGTTACTCCCAACTACAGTTTGGTGATATGTCTTGAAACTGACTCAGTTGCATGCTTTTTGTATCATTTTTTAAATTTTGCTACAGAAAGTTCTTCAACTATTTTCTTGGGAAAAGCACATATATAAAATGTATGACATATTCACACACACAAAAACAACTTCCCTAATTTGTCATATTGAGATTTTCTTCACTATGAGTTTTGATTATAAATGGTCAACCTGACTCACACAGCTTTGGAAGTGTTTTTTAAGGCTGTGTGTTATTGTGACCCAGACTGACCTGGCTGGCCCATACTCGCCTCTCACTCAGAGTGAATCCTCCTACTCAAGCCTCCTGAGTGCTGGGATTGCAGGGGAGAGCCACCACACAGACAGGAAAGCATTAATTAATTAGCAAATATTTACTGAATACTGACTACATGCTAGACATTGTTTTGAAGGTTTGGGGACAAAGTAAACAAAACCAATTCCTGTGTCCTCAGATCCAGCACAGTGGCTCAGCGGGTAATGGCGCTTACCACCAAGCCTGAGACCTGAGCTTGATCCCCAGAGTTCACAGGATGGAAAAGAAGACTTGGCTCTCGCAAAGTGACCTCTGCCCTCTGCCCTGACATGTGTATGACCTGATCTCAAGCAAGAAGTAATTAGTTGGGGGTTGAAGAGATGGCTCAGAGGTTAAGAGCACTGGCTGCTCTTAAAAAGGTCCTGAGTTCAATTCCCAGCAACCACATGGTGGCTCACAACCATCTGTAGTGAGATCTGGTGCCCTCTTCTGACCTGCAGACATCCATGCAGACAGAATGCATAATAAATAAATAAATCTTAAAAAAAGAACTTTAAAAAAAGGAATTAATTAATAGGAAAGTTAAAAGAAGAGCACATTCTAGGTGTAAAAAGAAGCAATAGATAGAATATTCAGAACACTGAATATTATAAGAGCAAGGGGAGTTATAAAGGAGAGGGAGTTTGAATGTAGCTATGGGGATCAAGGGAAGGCCTCACCAAAACGATGGCCTTTGATGAAAAATCTAAGGAAAGTTAGGGAGCATATGATGCAGGGTTTTAGGACATGAGATCAGAGAGGTCGCCACATCTAGTAAGCCACCATAAATTGAAGTAGAGAAAGAAATTCAATGGCAAAGTTCCAACCCGAAATGGTCGGGGACAGAGAAGAGCCCACCAAAGGCAGAATGCTGATGAATGAAGTTGGAGAGGAAGACCAAAGCAGGGTGGGCTTGTGGAAGTAGAATAAAGGAGGTGGGAAGAGTGATCAGCTGTGGGGATGAGAACCAGCTTTTCCTTCTTGTGACCTTGACAAGAGATGCTTGGAGGAGAGGAAGTGGAACAGAAGGAAAAAAGCCTGGTGGGTGGATTCCAAGCCAGCTTGGGCCACAGAGCATACAAACAACATTATCAAATGTTCCTGTGAGAGAAATGAAAGAGTGAGGTACTGATTGTAAAATCTGCAGGGGCCAAAAGAGGTTTCGAATGATGGAGCAAACCTTAAAGTTCAGCAAGAGAGGAGAACCAGAGTCTGTGCTGAGGGATCTAATGAGGTAAAAAGGAAAAGACGGACGCTGGGGATTTTGAGATCAGGTCCCTGGAAGTATTCAGATTTTTTAAATTTTAAGTAAAACCTCACTAAATAGCTTGATAAACAACTACTTTACCATTAAGTTTGCTCATTTTCAAAAATGCATACCAATCATTATTTTAAATGGGAATTATCGAATAGCTATGATGTCATACCATTGAGTCTTAGCTGATATTTCTCAACTATCTTCAGAAGTTCATTGCATGTCTCCTGGATGGAGTGAAAAACCTTGAAAAATAAATTTTATTAGGACAATTTAAAGAACAATAAACAAATACAACTTTTAGCACTTCAAAATTAGAACATTTGCATAAAAGCATCTATTGGGTATACTTTATAAATGATGTCAATTTACTTGGCTGTGACGTACCTCTCTTAAACATATATTAATTATGTCCATTTCATAAATACTATTTTTATTGACTGGGATGTACTTCAGGCTTAGTTTTATCACTGATATAGAAAGCACATTTAAATTTTCCCTGTGAATACTGAATAAAAAGAGATAAATGTGTGGAATTTATCTATAGAATTTATTCTCCCTTCTGCTCCCAATTATCCGAACACAAGAAAGTTATATACAATATAATTTCAACAACACAGGAAAAAGAGAGTGTAACATGAGGGGCCTGCTTGTTTGTGTTTCTGTCTTGCCCGGTCCCCCAGCTGTTTAGTCCCAGAGAATAATCACACTGAGATCTCTATAAGTTATAAAGCTGATTGACCCATTAGGTCTAGCCTCTTACTGGCTAATTCTCACATCTTGATTAACCCATTTTTCTGATCTATGTTAGCCATGTGGCTCAGTACCTTTTTCAGTGGGGCAGCTCACATCCTGCTGCTTCGGTGATCTGGGCAGGAGAGGGAAGAATCAACTTCCTCCTCCCCAGAATTCTCCTGCTCTCCTTGCATCATTTCCACTTCCTGTCTGGTTTTCCCACCTACACCTCCTGCCTGGCCAATCAGCATTTATTTAAAACATGATTGACAGAATACAGACAATTCTCCCGCACCACTTCCCCCTCTTTTTTTTTAAAAAAAAAAAAAGGAAAATATCCATAATCCATTTTTTGGGAATGTGGGCATAGTATTCCAGGCTACTTCCTGCTGGTTGGGGGCACTGATGATCTTATGGGGACCTAAAGAAAATTTAGAGTTATGATCAAGTCCTGACTAAAGTATCCTGTGAGTCTTGATCATCTCAAGCAGCAGTCTTGAATCTGTTCTGGATGAAGAACTCAGACATCTGGGCCATCTGTTCCTACTGGAGATTGCTCAGGTGGTCTCCCTTGGTCAAAGATGATTTTTCTTAACTCTGAATAAATCCAGAGCCTCTCGTTTTCTGTGGAAACAAAAGCAAAATCTCTTCTCCAAAGTAACATACCTTTTGACTTCAGTGAAGCCAAGGTATTTTCAAAATACCTATCTTGGATTAATTCTGCAGCATTTATAAGCAAATATCTTTTAGCGCTGTTGCTCCTTCCTCAGCATTTAAACAATTCAAAGAGAGCATAATAGCATACAGTATCAAGATTCTCTGTGTATTTTCCATCTTTATGCAGCTTTATTTTAACCTCCATTTCTTTTATTTTTACTCTTAACTTTTGGCTTTTTGAGACAGGTTCTCTGCATATCTTTGTCCTGAAATAATTCTGTAGACCAGGCTATCTTTGAACTCCCAGAGATCCATCTGTCTCTGCCTCCCAGGCTACTTGTTCGTTCGTTCTTTCTATTTTTCTTTCTTTCTTTCTTTTTTTCTTTCTTTTTTAGTTTGAGAACTTTAACCTTTAGCCTGTATATATTTTTAACATAATGTAAACCATTTAGAGGTTTTCTTACTCTTTGAATCTCTCTTTATTGTATATCTCTCTTTTTTTGACCACATGGGTCTTTAATTTGCTAAGGAATATGGAGGAGACAACACTCAAAAGCTCCTATGGCAGTTTCAAGGTCCTTGCCAGGAAGCAAGCTGCAACAGTATTTCCATAGTCAGGACCGCCTGCTTGAAAGTCAAGAGTTTTCCCTGGCAGGACGGCCCAGAAAGCCAGCATTTTAAAACAGCGCAGCTTTTTTTCCTGCTACGGCTGAAAACTGAAATGGTTTACTCTAGTCTTTCCCAAGCTATCTCAGGCTTTTTGTGGAAGCAGTTATCCACGTGGGCGCCATTCTGTAACATGTAGGGCCCTGCTTGTTTGTGTTTTCTGTCCCCGCCTGGTACCCCACAACCGGCAGGCCCCAGAGAAAATCAACCACACTGAAATCTCTGTAAGTTATAAAGCTGATTGGCCTTTTAGGTCAGGCTACTTATTAGCTAACTCTTACATCTTGATTAACCCATTTTTCTGATCTATTTTAGCCATGTGGCTCAGTACCTTTTTCAGTGGGGCAGCTCACATCCTGCTGCTTCGGTGATCTGGGCAGGAGAGGGAGGAATCAACTTCCTCCTCCCCAGAATTCTCCTGCTCTCCTTGCATCATTTCCACTTCCTGTCTGGTTTTCCCGCCTACACCTCCTGCCTGGCCAATCAGCGTTTTATTTAAAACATGATTGACAGAATACAGACAATTCTCCCGCACCAAAGAGAGTACTTTAGAAACAGCTGCTGCTCAATATGGCTTTTTCTAATATCAGTCAAAGCAAAACAGCCCAACAAGTTTACTGTAAAAAATAATGTATTGGGCTGGGCAGTGGTGGCAGATGCTTTTAATCCCAGCACTACGGAGGCAGAGGCAGCCTGGTCTACAGAGTGAGTTCCAGGTCAGCCAGGGCTACACAGAGAAACTCTGTCTCAAAAAAACCAGAAACAAAACGACGGTAACAAAAAGAATGTATAGGACAGGCGTAGTGGTACAGCCTGTGACGGCGGTAAAGGGGAGGAGCCAGGAAATGTGTGACGGCAGAAAGGGGGAGGAGCCCTACACTGTGGTCACCATATGTGAGGCAGCACATGCAAGTTTATAGTAACGATAAAAGTTTTATCTTCTATGTTTTGTTTGAGACAAGATGACACAATGTAGTATAAAATAAAAGGTGGCAAGAATTCTGGAAGTTCTCACTGTAAAGAAACACCGCATGTTTGAGCTGTGTAACTATTTAACACATTAATCATCAGATATATGGATTGAAGGTTTCATGGTATCCACTTTATAAAAAAGATTCATTTATCCTTGTTTTTATGTGTTATGTGTTTTGCCTGAAGGTATGTCTCCAACCACATGCGTGCCTGGTGCTACCGCAGGCCAGAAGAGGGTGTCTGATGCCCTGAGACTGGGTGCTGGGAATCAAACCTGGGTCCTCTGTAAAGCAGCCAGTGCTCTTAACTGCTGAGTTTTCTCTAGCCCTCTACTCCTTTAAAGTATACAACTCTTATGTTTTTATGTATCAGTTAAATTGAGTTAAGAATAAATAGAATATCATGACATCAAATACAAACTACTTTTGGAAAAGGTTGGGGATGTGGCTTAGTGGTTGAGCACTTATCTCCCATGCATGGGTTCAACTCAGAACTGCCAAAAGGGAAAAAGAAAATTATTTGAAAATAAATAATTAAAATTACAAAAGCTTACTTTTGGGTTATTTTTGTTTGGAATTTCTCCTCTTTGCCATTGTAGCTAATCAGAAACAGAAAATTAAGAAAATACCTGGTGAACTCTGACTTCAAAGTTAAGATCCCAAGATGAAGCCGTATACCTGGTACAACTCTTCATACATAAACTTTCCTATGTGGATTTCAGTGATCTCCTTTTACCCAGTCTTAAGCTGAAGAAATTCCATGAACTGTCCGAAGGACCCTGACATCTCTAGATGGAAGCCCCACCCTCACATTATTACGTTCTCAACATCACTGGGGAGCTTCACTGCTGATGTGTGAGTAAACCTGGGGAATATTTATAATAGTCCGCTGGAGGAACAATAGTAACTTTTCCAAATAACTTTAGATGTGCTTGAATTAGATTTGGCATCTGGGCATGGCCACTTAAAACTAAATTTTCAGGGGCTAGAGAGATGGTTCAGCAGTTAAAAACAAAAAACTGGCTGCTCTTCCAGAGGACCCGGGTTCACCTCCCCGCACCATCTGTGACTTCCGGTCCAGGGGCTCTCACGCCCTCTTCTGGCTTCCTCAGGTATGTGGTGCGAAGACACACATGGAAGCAAAACACTCATCATACATGTAAACTAAATAAAAAACAAAAATCAATTTTCAATTCATGAACAATTACAAAATAATATAAACAGACTGCCCACCAAGATGAGGTGATTACGGCAGGAAGTTCCCACAGTCCTGCAAGACTTCCTACGACTGTATGTTATTTTCACGACGAATTTTATTTTTTTACTTCTTATGCTTTTTGGAGATGGGGGGTGTGTGTCTTATGCAGCCCAGGATGGCCTTGAGCTCACTAGATAGCCGAAGATGACCGTAAGTTCCTCATCCTCCTGCCTCCAACTCCCAAGTGCTAGGATTATAAATGAGCCATCAAGCCTAGCATTCTTTTTTCAGTTTTTAAGAAAAATAGTACAAATATGGGAGAAAGAACATGGTTGATTGCTAATATGTATGATGGTCAACATTACGATAAAATGCTACAGAGTACCGAACCATATAAAACAACACAGAAATATTTCCTTCTGTGGGAATATGTGTGTAAACAATTCTCTGAGTGTTGCGAAGGCAGTCTGCTCATGTCTCCACACATGAATCACAAGGATTACTCTGCAACACAAATAAATAGCAAATGCTTCTTTTTCTTTCCTGGTTTTTCAAGACAGGACTTCTCCACTGTGGGTGGAGCCATCCCTGGGCTGGTAGTCCTGAATTCTGTAGAAAAGCGGGCTGAGCAAGCCTTGGGGAAACAAGCCAGTAAGTAGCATGCCTCATGGCTTCTGCATCAGCTCTGCCTGAGGACCCTACCCTGTTTGGGTTTCTGTTCTGACTCCTTCAATGACGGACTACAGATGTGGAAGAGAATACAAGTCAAACAAATCTCTCCTCCCCAACTTGCTTTTGGTCACGGTGTTTCATTAGTAGCAGCAACCCTAAGACGCTCCTTAAACTCCTTGGTGTGGAAGATCGCGGCAGTCCCCCTTAGAGTCCCAGATAATAACCAGTTCCACACAATACACAGTCTTCACGTTTACCTCAAGCTTAGCGTCCAGTTCTGCGTCAGACGCAACCACATGCTCGTCTTCCTTCTTCCCCGTGGCTTTGATAAAGACCTGCTTGGTCTTCCAGTACTTCCTCTGCATTCTGCTCATCACTGACTGGTTACCTTCTGCTCTGAGCTGCCCACAGGAATCCATGGAGTAACTAAAACACACTAAAATTAAGCCTCTTTTAAAACCTTACCAATAGACTAAGAAATTACATTTAAAAAACTTACAAACCTAACACCTAGCTAGCTTGTCAGTATTTAATTGACAAACCAAAATTGATATCAAATATAAACATGGTAATGGTTGGTTTATATGATCTAGGTTTTTTCTATAATTACAACTATAGAAAGAGAGAGATAAAAAGATTAATATTACTTATATTTTGGTTATGAAGTAAAGTGTTAAAATTGTTATTATTCTATAGTTATGGCTGGAAATAATTCTATTTAGTCAATATCTAATAGCAAACATTTCTTAGTTTATTACTCCCTTTAATTTTTAATTTTTGCAGCATACTGAAGAATTAAATTTGTATACATATCTACATTTTACAAATATGTTCACAAAATATGTTAGATGAATATAATTTAATAAATCTTTTTAGATATGTAAAGATTCAGACATATGTATGTCTTTAAATATTAAATAAATACTGTAATATCCATAAGACAACAGAAATGAAAACCTTAGATACGGAGGAGACATGTTATTAAAGAAAGGGACAGACACTGTACGCCATCATCATAAACTTGGTGGGTAAGTGATTGCTTTAGCAGAATTGACACAGTTACACATAAGGAAATGAAATGTGAAAAGCGTTTTGTAAAGAAAGATGTTTAAAAGAGAGACGATAAAAATTGCTAGATCCTAAAGACCAAAGTATTCCTGTGAGCTGGGGGAACAGAGCGGAGATGTCCCTGACTCAGTCGCTTGTCCTTGTCCCCAGAAAAACAGACTTGTTTCCCTTCCATTTGGAAACACTTACTAATTAAGTTAAAAGTAGGCTAGTTTCTAAACTCCCAGGGCCTACAAGAACAAGGACACCTACCAAGACACAAAAGCTAGGGAGAAAAGAGGAAGGCAGCCTGACAAACAACAGACAATTTCCTAGAGTATGATTGCATTATTTAAAATCAGATACAAACTTCCTTTTAAGCACTAGGGTTAGAATATCTGCCTGGCATATTTGAGGCACTGTCTTTAATCCCCACTAATCCAAAGTCAAACCCAATTAAAAATAAAGTCCTGAAAAACTAAAAACTACAATCCAACCCAACCACCCATTTAGGTGATGTGACATTCTCCTAAAACAAAATGACACAAAAGGAAAAAAAAAATAAGGAGATGTCAAAAGCAGATCTTACCAATATATACCAAGAGTTAACATGTGGTATATACAAATAAATCATAGAAAATATCGAAACAAGTCAGAGATGCCAGTTACAAAGTTCAAGTAGTCTAATTAAAAATCAACTACATGAGGGCTAAAAAAAATGGCTCAGCAGTTAAGAGCAATGGCTACTCTTCCAGAGGGCCTAGGTTTAATTCCCAGCACCCACAGGACAGTTCACAACCACATATAACTCCAGTCCCAGAGGAGTCAGTTTCCTCTTCTGGTCTCTGTGGGCACCAGGCATGCACATGACATACATGTACACGGACATACATGCCATCAAAACAGCCATACAAATTTAAAAAAATGAGTAGAGGGGATAGAGAGATTTGCCAGAGGTTAAGAGCACTGGCTGCTCTTCACAGGATTCAGGTTCAGTTCTCAGCATCCACATGGTGGCTCATGATTGCCTGTGTGCACCTCCAGTCCCAGGGTAATCTGATGCCCTCTTCTGAGCTCCGTGGGCACTAGGCATGTATGTGATACATATAAAAATATGCAGACACACATGGTGCACATAATACATGCAGGCAAAACATCTACACATAAAATAAATAAATTTTAAAAGCATTGGTTAGATAGCCCGTGTGGTCCACATCTCTAATCCCAGCACTTGGGAGACTTCAACAGAAGAATAAAAGTTCAAGGCAGCCTAGGATACACAATGAGACTGTCTAAATAAATAAATAGATAAATCTGGCTGAAATCGCTTATGGACAAAATGAATACAATAGAAGTGAAATCAAAATGAAACTATAAAAATGATCAGATTTAAGGAGAGACAAGTAGGTAGTGGGGAAGAGAAAAGCTATAAAAAAAAAGACAAGATAAAGTGGGACAGAAAACACCCAGAGAAATACAATACCCCTCAAACTTGAGGGTGACAGTCATGATGTATAAATACAATAAGGTGGATAACACAAATAACGCACATAAAATCTTAAGTAGGCACGCCATAGGCAAACTGTTTAAATCCGAAGATGTTTAAATCTTGAAAGCACAGAGAAATGTTTAATTATTCTTATATTATTATTTTGAGGCAGAGATTTTCACTCTAGCTCAGGCTGATCACTAATTGACCAAGTTGGCCTTTAACTCATGGTGATGCTCCTGCCTCAACATCCTAAGTGATGAGATAACAGACAGAAGCCACTGGGCCAGGATAAGAAAATCTATCTTGAGGGCTGGAGAGATGGCTCAGTGGTTAAGAGCACTGCCTGCTTTCTAAAGGTCCTGAGTTCAATTCCCAGCAACCACATGGTGGCTCACAACCATCCGAAATGAGGTCTGGTGCCCTCTTCAGGCATACACGCAGAAAGAATATTGTATACATAATAAATAAATATTAAAAAAATATATTTGAAGGAAAAAACTATGTTGATGCATAATTCTATATTTATGAAACCGTCCATTAAAAATAAGCTATTGTGGGAGTGTATACTGAAATCAAAGGATAAAGAGGTTGAGGCAGGGGGCTGGAGAGATGGCTCAGCGGTTAAGAGCATTGCCTGCTCTTCCAAAGGTCCTGAGTTCAATTCCCAGCAACCACATGGTGGCTCACAACCATCTGTAATGAGGCCTGGTGCCCTCTTTAGGCATGCATATAGACAGAATATTGTATAAATAAATAAATATTTAGAAAAAAGAGGTTGAGGCAGTAATACCATAAGTTCCAGGCTATCCTGGGCTACACAGTGAGACATTACCTTAAAATAAGAAAAAAGCAAAGAAACAAATAAAAATGAAGACATTTTCAGATACAAAACTCAGAATTAATGGTTAAGGTACTTTCAGAAATGCCAACACTTGGCCGGGCTATGGCTTCCGTGGCAGCGTTTGCCCATCACTCCTGTTGCTGTGAGTTCAATCCCCGACACTGCTGACAACAGGAATCACATGTGTTTGGGCACACATGACAGCATTGGCATTGTCGCCACTTCTGGATGGTGATCACAAGGCTATAACTTCGTCATCGGAAAAGTATAGTCATGGTGCGGTATCTCAGGGTAGAGTTCAATTCCAGGACTCACATCTGCCTCCCGAAAACTGTTCCCCCATCATAGTACATGCAAGCACACACGCAATAATTTTAAAAATGCAAAATGCCAACAGTTCAGCCAGGCGAAGTGGCTCGTGCCCTTTAATACCAGCATTTGGGAGGTAGAGGCAGAGGTAGGGAGATCTTTTTAACTTTAAGGCCAGCCTGGTCTACAAAGAGAGTTCCAGAACAGACAGGGCTATTACACAGAGAAACAAACCCTGCCTTGAAAAACAAGCAAACAAAAAAGAAACCAAAACCAAAGCCGAAACCAAAATGCCAACAGTTCATCATTAACTGATGGAAGAAGAAAATGTGGCATATTAACGTAATAAATATGACTCGGTCGTAAGAGAGTTACCGTAATTGGTGACAATCGTCTGGACATGCTAAGTGGAGTTAAGTGGGGGACTCAGAACACAAAAACAGCAACACAGCCCCTTTCAACCTGCTTCTGCCGCCATATTGCCTCTTTTCCTCCCCTCTCTGCATCTGAAGGATCCTTGTGATTACCTCTAAGCTCCCCAGACAACCTGTTTCTACCTCATGATCCTTACTAACCTGTGAAGTCACTTTTGCCACAGAAGGTAATAGCTCTCTGGAGACCAAGACCCTGGTGACTAGATGTTATCCCGAGTTTTTAATCCTTGTTTAGCAAAAGAAAAGGCTCAGGCAACTCACTTGGGAAAGGTTCCTGGAGCTCTATACGTCCCCAGAAGTCTTAAAACGGCTTTGTTCTGATTTCATACACGAGAGCTGGAGAGGGGTCTTTCCCGTTGTTTGTAGTACTGGTTTATTGATGCCAGTTTTCGTGTGAGTCTGGTTATTGTTCTGGAAGGGCAGTCTATGTTTCCTAGAGGTTTTCAGGGTCAACCCTTTATTTCACAAT